TATCCGTGATCAGCAGCATAGGGGAAGACATGCAGCAAGACTGTAGTTTGCTCAGACACATTCCACGAAGAGAAAGGCAAGGGACTTGAGGGTATGTGCGGGGAAATGATTGACCAGGGTAAAAGCTGGGGAGGAGGAAAGAGGATATGAAGCCCGGGGCATGAGGAAGAGAGGAAAAAATTGGCAAGATGGTGTGACTGTTAAAGATCTAGAGAGTGAGACAGAAAGGTAGCAGGGATAGTCAGAGACTGGAAAATTAAGAAGTAGTACTGTGGAGGGTTTGCAGTTATTGGAATGTCAAGGTGGCAAGGAGCCTGGACCCTACTTTAACTCCTTCTACTTTTCCTTTTTCTTATTCTCTTCAGTAGCTCTGCCTTCTAAAGGTAAATTATCCTTTACAAGCTGGATGGAGAATCTTGCCCAAAAGAATTGATGGGGAAAAAGGGGTGATGGTCAAGAGACTGTGGAAACCTACAAAGAAAGATGGCAGCCAAGATATTCAAATAATTCACATTTAGTATAAATTTTCTCTTTTAACTCTGAGAACTAATTTATTTTCACAAACTTGAGTGCTGTATTGATGATTCTATTTCAATAAAATAATTTTGTGTCTCTGTCTGCAGTATGGATGAGTTGAAAACTGAAAAAAAATACATATGACCACCAATTTATGAATAATTCAATGCCTGTCAACAACTTCACTCTTTTTCCACCATTGAATTGACTAATTGTTTTTCCCCCACTGGAAGGACACTATATGGGTTTGAAGGTTTATACAGGAGCCCAGATTTTCTGATACCATATCAAGGGGATCTATTGTTCTATATGATACATTTTCTTTTGCTTAAACTTTTCTGAGAAGGCCATTACTAACTAGAAAAGAGGAAGGGGGAGTAGAGCTTTATATTATTTTGGGAAAGTTAAAGACAGAGTTAAGAAACACTGAAATTATGGAAATTCTTAATATATATATATATAATCTTATATGAAAAATAGCAGGCATAGAAAGGCAGATAGTTTTGATATCTCCTACAAGCTAAATGCCCTGGATTGAGATAGTTATGGATCACTGGTGACAAATGATGAGAATTTAATTTGGACTGTCTAACCACAAAATGAATAATTTACCAAGTTAAGCTAATAAGCTTGTACTTTATTTAAGAGACAATTATTTTAAAATTATGTATTCATACATATGGGGCTTACATGGCAGCTCAGTCAGTAAAGAATCTGCCTGCAATGTAGGAGAGAGACCTACGTTCTATACATATGCTATTGCTACAGAATTCTTATATAACAAATTTTATAGAGATAGCATGTATTTATATATTAACTATACATGTGAATAAAATGCATATTTAACATAAACTTGATAAAATCTCAATAGTTGGTTATAGCCTCTTGCTGAGTTAAGTTTTTTGGTAAAAAGGTTTATTTACACTGGAGATAACAGAGTTGGAAAAGGTAATCTTGCTCTCCTGAACTGGGAGAATGTTTCAGATTCCATTTGCAGATGCCCTTCCAAGGCTATGCTCCCTACTTTGACACAATTTTGTGTATAAGTGTGTCTGTGCGTGTGCACACACACACTTTTTTTTTTTAATTGAAGAAGTGTCCTAAATTGTTAAATTCTAGAACTAAAGAAGCCTGGATTCAACTCTACCTTTGATCATCTTAAACACAAATGCATTCAGTCTAGCAACTGCGTAACTCTAATGTAGTCTGGTATAATATAAAATCCCAGACTCATTAAATAGTTTTTTCTTCCCTGGCTCAGATTCAAATCAAGCTTGGAAAGTTTGGTGGAGTGACAGGGGTGGGGGAGTGGGGTGCTGCTGGCTTCTCTTCTCTTGTCTTTGCTCCCCTCCTGCTCTGATTAGCTTCTGTTCGTGACCTCTAGAAGACTGGTCTCAGAGGGAATAATCATGGGTGGCTAGTGCAGTAGCGATCGGGTGTTGTTGACTGCCCCCACAGCAAATGATCTCAGACTAACTCCTTCTCTCTTATACACTGCTTTGGTGGAGTCCTTGGCAATTTTTTTCTTCTGAGTCTTCTAGGTTGCTTACCTGATGAGGACAATATCTTTCCTGGGATGGCTACTTGTGAGTCTTCCTCTGCCCCTAGATTCCAGTATCCACCTCTCTGTTTTGGTATCTCCTTACCCTATCAGATGAAGTGTTCCATGGGATCCCTTTTAAGGGCTCTCCATAGCAAGGCCCATGTTTGGAATCTGAGAAACTTCTCTGGGTGCAGAAATGGAGATTGACCCAATGTACTCCCTTCCTTTTTCTCTGAGCCTCAATTTTCACAAATGTCTCCAAGTCACTTTCCCTTGACTTGAGGTTAAGGGGAAGCACCATCTCATTTCCCCATGGATGGGGTGTGTGGTTGTCAGCATAGTTCACTGACAGTCGTCTTGAAAGAAATCGTCTCAGCTCTTCAATTGTTTTAGACTGAGGATAGCTACTAGCTAACACTGACAGGGCCAGTATGGGACTCCTCTCTTCTCTTCTCCATATTTATTTGAAAATCCTGAAGGAATGGTTTAAATTAGCATTTGTCTTAATATCCAGGTGGATTTAGAGTTTACTCTTTTGTGCTTCACCTTGAACAGATTATGTGAAAGAAGGAAGAGTGTCATTTAATAACCTGTTCTAGTCCCAAATTGGAAAATACAGCAACATGGAGATAAGTCTGTGAGAATATTTTGGAAAATGGAACCAATGTACAAAAATGGCAGGATAACACTGTAATGTGAGATGTTGAACACCCAAGTCTGGAGGGACAACTTGACACTGTGTTCTCAGAATAAAACCTTTCTGTTTCTGACTTGGCCAATGAGGCACATCTTTATTTAAAGTGGCCTATAATTTTCTTTTCTAATCCAAGTTTTGACTTCTTAAAGAGAAAAAAGACAGTTGTATGGAAATGCAAAATCTAAGAACCAAAAGACCTCATTTCATGTTGTAAATGAGGTCACAGGAAAAGCATCACTTAAGTTTCAACAATTTTATATTCTGGCTATTTCCTTGGTCATATGGATCCAGTGCTACACCAAAATCTTCAGACATCTACAACAGCCTAGAAAAATGTACTGTCCAAACACCCAGTAGGTTTATGTATTCTAGCCTAAACTGGTCCTCATAAAGAAATAAAATTTTAATTCCTATCTCCATACTGTCTTTGGTATGGGAAATAGACTAGCTTAAAGAGACACAGATGTATAGAACAGACTTTTGGACTCTGTGGGAGAAGGCGAGGGTGGGATGTTTCAAGAGAACAGCATTGAAACATGTATATTATCTAGGGTGAAACAGATCACCAGTCCAGGTTGGATGCATGAGACAAGTGCTCAGACCTGGTGCACTGGGAAGACCCAGAGGGATCGGGTGGAGAGGGAGGTGGGAGCGGGGATCGGGATGGGGAATACATGTAAATCCATGGCTGATTCATGTCAATGTATGACAAAAACCACTACAATATTGTGAAGTAATTAGCCTGCAACTAATAAAAAATAAAAAAAAATTTAAAAAGTTAAAAAAAAAAAGATTGTATTGTGTCAATGGGAAACAAGGATTAAAATGTTAAATTTTAATACAGACGACCCTTGGTTACCTGTATCATAATGACAGAATTTATGAATTATCTCAGATTTCAAATACTTGTTTGAGAGATAGGATGATAAAGGACTCGCACTTGTAGATACTGGTACACATTCTTAGGTCAGAAGCACCTGTCATAAAACCTGTATTAAAATAATAATCTGCTAGAATCCTCTCAGTTTGGCTTGTCTTGACTCGAGATTGAGTGAGCCAAGCAAAGCCAGAGTTCGGAGGTCTTTGAAGATAGACTCAAGATTTCATCTGATCGGCCGGAAGTGTGGTGACGATGATGACGGCAGCTGGAGGAAGGAAGAGAAGGAAGGAAGAGAAGGCCGGAAGTGCTACATCTTGAGAGTCCCAGGCAGAAAGCAACCTGACTTTCTATACTGGAAGCTCTTTTCCAGGGTATAGGGAAACGGTCCGCCTGGCTGGAAGTCCCACATCTTTGGGCTCCCCCATCTTTTCAGAAGTTTTTCTGACTCTATGCTTGCTTCTGTGCTCTTTCCCCGTTTTATCTGTATACCATAAAAGGATTCATTAATGTCTCTCTGCTAGCGCCACTAAACGGGTGGAGCCGGCGTTCCTTCCCTGTACCATCATGTAGCTAGGAAGTAGCACCTAGGGGCAGTTGGACCGCCGGGATCCCAAAGGAAGAGGGGAGGACTCAGAACTCTGCTTCTGCTTCTGCCACCAGGACACAGTCTCTTCAGCCTCTCCCCCAATGCTGTCGCCATGCCCCCTACGGTCCTCTGTCTCCCTGTGGTTGTGGCCACTCTGCTGTGGGGAGCGTCCCCTGTCAGGGGACTCATTCGAGCGACTTCAGACCACAATAGCAGCATGGAATTTGCAGACCTCCCAGCTCTCTTTGGGGCTGCCTTGAGGCAGAAAGGACTTAAGGGGTTTCTCGCGGAGGCTCAGCCAGCCAAGGCCTGCAGCCCCATTGCCCCACCTCCCCCAGCCCGGGCCAGCGGATCAGTTTTCATTGCATTGGTTCGGAGATTCGACCGCAAATTTGACCTCAAGGCCGTACATGCTCAGAAGGCCGGGTATGGTGCAGCCGTGGAACACAATGTGAATTCCAATGAACTGCTGGGCATGGTGGGGAGTCCCGAAATCCAACAGCAGATCTGGATCCCTTCTGTGCTCATCAGCGAGAAGAGCTCTAAGTACCTGCGTGCCTTCTTCACCTACCAGCTGGGGGCTCAGGTGCTTCTGGTCCCTGACAATGGATTCCTTTTGACCTACTTCTTCATCCTTTCCTATGAGACTTTGGCAATGCTCATTTTGGGCACGGGAGCCATAGCAATAGTTCGTTGGATCCATTTCCAGAAACAACGCTGGCGGAACCGGCTGACCAAAGAACAGCTGAAACAGGTTCCTACCCACGACTATCGCAAGGGAGACCAGTATGATGTGTGTGCCATCTGCCTGGACGAATATGAGGACGGGGACAAGCTGAGGGTCCTCCCCTGCGCTTATGCCTCTCACTGCCGCTGTGTGGACCCGTGGCTCACTCGGATGAAGAACACGTGCCCTATCTGTAAGCAGCCTGTTTGCCGGAATCTTGGGGAGGAGGAGGAGCAGGAGGAAGAAACTCAGGTGCAAGTGGGCCACGAGGAAGGGGGCTGAGAAGCCTCCCTGCCTAAGAGCGAACCTCACTTCTGGGCTCCAGCACCGTACTTCCCACTAACTTTGGCTCCTTAGGCCCGGCCCCCTTTGTGTTTCTTGGGTCTTCAACAGATCCCTCACACTCTCCATCCTCCTCTTCCTCTTCCACTGTCAATCTCATCTGATACTCCCTTTCCTTTCCACCATTAGCAACAGACTTGCACAGACCCTTTCCCTCCCGCAAGTCTTCCAAGTTGAGTGATGGGCATAGTTCTACCTCAGCTTCCTGCCTCACCCAGCCCCTTCCTCCTGCGGGATTTGGACGTGCAGAGGAACTGGGTCTTCACTTACTGGGTTAATAAAAACGATGCACGCGAAAGCCATGGGTGAGAGCTGTCAAAACAATTCAAAAGAGCATATTTTTATTATATGTCAAGGATGAAAAAATAATTTGAAATACTATTTTAAGTAACTTGGAATATCTTAAATTGACTTTGGGATATTAACATTTCACATTTGTCCTCATAGTGCAATTTCTCATCCCTAAAATTTTCAATGCCTCTCCTTTACCCGTTTTAGATCCGGTGCATATGAAGTAGTCTACACTTACCTAAATCTTTGTCATCAGCTAGTGCCTAAATAATGCAAAGCTCCTGCAGTGTCTATCTACATGGTCATGAGAAAAAAATAACTCGGTTGTAGGTCTCTGATCCTCTGCTTTTGCTATAAAGTGGCTCTGTAAAAAGATTTAGTTGCATGTGATCCTTAGTATTCTGATCCTACTAACTGGGGTGGAATTTTAAGAGAATGCTTTTTAGCTTTGTCTTTTTCTCTCTTGGAATTAAAAACCGATTTAAGTGAAGGAAACATGCAACATCAAATACTTTTCACCTGAGAGTAGTAACCGTTCATCCATGCCAAGGGTCTTCTGTGCCTAGAGATACCTGTGTAATTGCAAAAGATGGGAGTTGTACAATACAGGACCATTGAATATGCCCTTCCTTTTTAGAAATTAAGGTCATTTTCACTCTTTAATGATTGTTAATGTTAGCTAAGCTATTTTTCATTTGTATGGCCAATTTCAACTCATCTCAAACTTCCAAACACTACACTGATAATGCAAATAACTAAATACTGTCAATATAGCTCTTTGGATTAGACTGTTTTGTTGCATGCAAGCCTTGAAGTAAACTCCTAAACCACACTGAAAACCTTCTATTTTGGAATGCATAATCAATAGTCATAAGAAGACTTACTATTTAAATTAATATGCAATTTTGTTTCCATAAAGATGCATTTAAGATGGTAATTCTAGGTCTAAGATCCTATTAAGTCAATTGTCAATACTACTGCAATTGATTATCTATTCTATTTACTAATGTTCTGCTCCAGTTTTTTGATTTGATATTTCTCACAATATGCATTGTTTGGCAGGAGGTTGCATTGATAAACGTTATCTGACACTGAAGGCTGTAGTATGCAGGGTCCCCAAGGAACAGATTCTGGAGTAGAGCTTTGTGTACATAAATTGAATGAGTTTAAGAAGTAGAGCTGGGTGGAGGTAAAAGCTGGAGGATGGTGTGGCTGCACTGAAAGCCTTAGCAGACCCCCCCAACCCCGACTCCCACCCCACCCCCGCCCTCAGAGAGCCCTGGAGCTGAAATGGCCCTGCAGCATTGTCCTGCAAACTGAAGCGAAAGAGCTGAATCCATGTCCCTTAAATGATCTGTCATTTCTTCCAGGCTGTCACAGGGACAGAGGAGTGACATTGGGTTGGGCAGCTTTGTTCACACAAGGACAATTCCTGAAGAAAGACTCAGCTGTGTGAGAAATTTCACTAGTTGTGTGTGTGTGTGTGTGTGTGTGCGCGTGCGTGCACACAAAGGTCCTTTCTATTTTAATATGATTCCCTGAGTCAGTCAAACTCCAGGAGATAGTGAAGGACAGGGGAGACTGGTGTGCTGTAGTCAGTGGGGTCGCAAAGAGTTGGACACGATTTAGTGACTGAACAACAACAATCCAGAAATTGCCTAATTGATATTTTTATGAGCTTCTTCTAATGTGAGTTAATACCAAAAGGGTGGGCTCTGCTAAACTGAATCAGTTATGAAACAGAAATAGGAAATAAAGACAGCTAAAAGTTTGCAGCAGAATTTTACCCAGGTCCCAGGCTCAAAAGTGGCGATTGCTCAATGTCTCATGTATTCATTACAAGCATCTGTTGAGCTTCTATAATGCCCTAAGCCCTGCATAGACCAGTGATGGAGAAGAAAGATCCCATCCCTAATTCACTGATCTTCGGGAAGAAACAGTCATTTTGTAGCATGATGCTTGTGACAAGTAGCAAGAAGGGATAAATGATCCAGCAAGAATAATCCAGTGCTATGCTGGAGTGGCTCATATGGGTTCAAAGAGCTCGCTGTTAAATTTTTAGAAACCTTGTCACATTGTTGCTAAATGTGGGTATTGTTAAAAATCATATTATATAAATTTACCATTAAATAAATTCTATTAAAAACATATTTAATACATATTCAGGGCTCATCACTTCATAATTATTTTATTTTATGCTCTTGAGGTTCTCTATGTCTATTAGGACTATCTAGTGGAAAACCATATAATGGTGTGTTGCTATGCGTATCTTCCCATCTCCGAGTTCAGTGACATTATATTGGAGCCTGAAATTGATCATGATGGGAGTATTTACGCCACAGAAACTGGCAAATGTTTTCTCCTTCATCTTCATCAGAATATCATTTACTGTTTTGATGATTATCTAGACTTAACAAGGTAATGGAAAAATGTTAATAATATAGATTAAACTTAAATATGTCATGTCTAAAGCTAATATATTGTGAATAGTACAACAAATTGAGGAGATATTCTTCCAGTATTTGAAAGTATTATCTGATTGGGCAAGTAAGTTTTCATGTCATTGATGAATTAGTGAAGTTGTTGCATACATTATCATTTTCACACTTTTTTTAACCTCATTAAAATAATGGAAATATCAATCAATATTTATGGCAGAACTACATTAGTTTGTCAATGAGATGAACCACTTCTGAACTGGGAAGTAATCAAACATTTATTCATAGACTAATTTTATGAAATCATGGTGGAATTGCAACCATAGTTCGTCTATGGGCACAAGATTTCAGCAAAAATAGGACAAATATTCTGTGAGAATAAACTGAAATTGACTATGCAATATTTACAACAAAGAGAATATTGCATATTTTATTATTTTCATTAATTGTGTACCTCATACCTCTTTTCATCAATAAAAATTATGTACATATAGGTGTCCATGCATTTTTTTTTTCCCCACAAGAGTGAATTGTTAAAACTTTATTAGCTGGATAAACCAAAGCTAATACAGAAATTTGCACAGTTACTGTATGAACACATGGGGTGCCATACAAGGACCACAAAGGCTGGAGTGAGGGGAGGAAGAAGAAGAAAAAGAAGGCTGAACTAGGAGCACTTTCAGAATTCAGGCTCCTCTTTTTCTACTGTACTATGTTCAGCTTTATAGTAGATCATAAAGAAGATAAAATGCACAAGGTCTTTTCCATTCTGTCATCAGTATTAGTGATCACAAAGGCACTAATTATTGTTTGGACTAGCTGCAGATACTCAAATTCAGCACTTCTTATAGTCCATCCCGTTTCTGATACAATCACATCTTTTGTGAGCCTATTAAGCACTGTTGAAATGACCTGCTTTCCCTCTTGAGATGCTTCTAGGCATTGTGGCTCTGTGTGGTTCCTCTCTCAAGTGCTCACCATGGCAGAACTATTTCCTAGAGTTACTTGGGGAAACTCAATCTTTCCCTTACTGTTAGAAGGCACATCTATTAATATTTACAAACAGCAGGACTGCGTTTCCAAGGTCCTTAGTTCCATATTGTACACAGTGGGGCTCAAAACCTTTGAGACTGTGATGGAATGTTCTACTCAACACACCATAGGAGAACATTTCTTTAGGCGATACTCTACCCTAAGCTCACCTCAGATCATTTTTCCTGGGTCCCAGGCCATGACTCTGTCCCCTTTCCATTTATTTTACTAGTTTGCTCATATGGATGTACCTTAGTTAATCTTTGTAGAAGTCATATGATGGAGCATTTGACAAACAAATACCTTTGAATTTAAGTTCATGCTTTTTTTTCCCCAGTCAAAATAATTTTACAAAATTTTTAAGACTTTTAGGAAGTGATTTGTAGAAATGTTTTTTAAAGATGATGTAGAATTTTTATAACCTAATCTTATTTCTTTAAAAGATACTATTTTATTTTTTAAGTTCCTTATATAGCACCTCCCAAGACTGCAAATTCCTTAAGAGAAGAAACTATAAATTTCACCTCATTATCCTGAGGTACTAGCTCAGCCTGAATGAGTACATAAGTGATTATTTTAAAATAACTTCTTTAAACTTGATTGTATAAATAAGATTTTAGACATTTTTTCGTAGTGAATTTGGCTTGTATCAAATCAGTGTGGAGAGAAGTCAGTGGCATGTTTTGAAGATGTATTGACAGTAGCAAGGGCACTGCAAATTTCTGCAGCCTCTGCCCTTTTCTCAGATAGCCATCCTAACTCCACACAGGTAAAAACACATCTATTCATCCATACCTCCATCTTTCCACCCAACTATTCAATGAATCATTCATTCTGTAAATATTAAGTTGTATCTGTTGTACTGGCTATATAATGGTATCAGGATAGATATGATCTTACCTTCACGTGAAGAAAAGAATATTAAGCCATCACATAAAATGTGAAAAATACTGTGATAGAAAAATTCTCAGAGTAGAAGACTCTAGGTGGGGAAAAGGATCTAGACATAAAAATGTATGGGAGGAAATAAAAATTATCCACACCTAAAGGGTGGATAGGGATTGACCAAAAATAGGAGAGGCAAGAGGGTTTTGGCTGACTGAAGTAAAATACCTGTGAACTTAAAGGGGAAGAGAACACAGCATGTTCTAGGAA